ATTTCCTGATAAAAACTGGAGTCAGCTTACACTCTCTTGAGTGCATTTTAAAGGACTTATTTTTTTCCTGTCATTAACAGCTGTTTTTACACAAATTTCATTACTGGTTATTTGTGAGCTGGGGGATAAACATCCACTGCAATTTTACAGGATGAGACAGAACATTACGTTGGTGGGTAGTTTTGGATTGTACTGCATACATAGCCAGTACCTTCAGTAGATTCCTTTGTCTGTCAGTCTTACAAATGAAAGTAATATTTTAGTGCTCTTACTTCATTTGCACTACTTCCTTTTTCTCAATACCAAAAGACAAAGAAGCAATAAAACATTGAACTACTTAAAAAATTAATCTCTAAGAACAATAGAGCACTTATGTAGAGTCCGGGTATTAAATAAATATAATCTTGTTGTAATGTGAACAATTGCAACAATCACTAACTGCTTCAAGACTTTGTACATTAATTTATCCCTTCAATAGTTATTTCAGTCACTAAGGGTACACGCTACAATATGATTGGAAATTTTGTGAGGCAAAAAAAACATTTGTCCTATGAGTACTAATTACCTAAAGAGTTCAAAAGTTATTTAGCGTACGTACTAATCCAAATTTAAAGACCATTCAAAACTGAACTCAGATATCCAGAATCAAGACTTCAAGCACAGATGTTGCTTAAAACTTTATCTCAAGGCCAAATATTTCAATGTAAATATTTAAACAGTTATCACTTCATGTTATTTTGCCATTTCCATACAGGATATACATGTAAAGATATTTTAGAAAGTTGACAAAAAAAAATTAAGAATTAATTAATTCTGGACTGCAGATGAAATGAATTTAGACCACTAGTTTCATCTCCCTTAGCTTTCAGTGTGAAAAGCTATATTGATTAGCTGCTTAAGATTCCAGCCACGTGTTGTAAAGAATTCTAACTTATGTCTGGATTTCAAATAAGTATGTTTCAGGGTTCTTCAAATCATTAAAGCAGTGACTTTCTTGGCTTTGTTACAGTGGGATATAAAATTAATTCTTTCTGTCTCTTATTTTATAATTTGCTTTTGAAAAAGTATTTCACTTAAATGCATCCCTCTTAAATTTCACCTATGTCTTTGAAACAATGCTGTGATGTATTTTTACTTGTGATGCAAAATAGTAGTGTCTTCAGTTTCAGAAGTAATGCTCTTTCTGGCTCATTGCTTTTTGATTATTTGTTAATCTAGTGCTCTGTTTTCATCTGTGTGTTTTGGGTTTGTTTCTGTTTGTTTTGTTGTGTTGTTTGTTTTTTTTTTTTTAAAGTAAAATAGTCCATAATTTGTTCCATCATTAATTGCTGTAAGTTGACTTCTCAAACATTTTCTTAATTTACTAATAGATATATGTTCCCTTCAATTAAATGTATAAATAGATCTATTTTATTGAATCTAATATTATCTAATAAGAGTGCTTTGTCCATGCTACAGCTTGATATTTTGAAGGATTAATGTTCTGTTAGAAAAAAAATCAAGCACAGAACGAAAAATCACTATAATCAAAACATGATTTTAGTACCGTCTTTTATTAAGGTAGATAAATATTGTGAGAAATTCAGCAAATACGTCTGTGCGTCTTATTAGGAAGAGTGTGTGGCTAGGAGCATGTAATTTCTTCCAATTTTTTCCTTCTTATATTTGCAGTTTAAGGCGTACTCAGTGGCTTCTCTGGAAGTGCTGTAGTTTGCAAGACAGCTGGTGAGGATTGCTCTTCCAGATGCCAGGGAGTCTGAGCATCAGGAGCATCTTTAATGGCTGCGCATCTTTAATGGCTGCCATACTACTGTCAACCTGGCATGGGATAAATGAAGATTTTTAAAGCATATTTGGTAGACTTTTGGGTAACTGCTTTTAGAATGATCTAGAAATTCCAGTCTTATCCTTAAATACCTAGATAAAGAAGGTAGAATGCAACTAGGTCTGTTTCATTGCACTCGGTAATTACAAGTGAGAGACCTAAAGGGAGAACTGCTAGTATTCCAGGAGTGTCACAGTTCCTGACTTCAGGCTGTATTTCTATTTAAAGCAATGACTGAGTTGCTCAAGATTCTTTTGTATGACAAAGCCTCTTCGAGGCTAATTGTATGGATGATAGTGAACCAATCATCTAATCAAGTTGTTGGGTTGGTGTTTTTTTTTTTTTTTTCTTTTTTTTACTGTTTATCTCTAACAGGAATTGTTGAGAGTAGCTGAAGAATAGGCTTTCACTGAAAAGTTGAACGAAAATCTGTTCGCTGTTAAAAGGACTATGTAGAGAGATGCAAATAATTAGATTATTCAAATAGGAAATAGGAATCTGCAGTCTAGGAAACTGAGCAGTCTACAGAGGTTTTGACATCCTGTGTCTCACTGTCAAGTCTGTAAAATCTGATATTTGACCTTGAAATAGTAAATGACCTCCATTTTCAAAAGTACTAGAAAGTATGTCATGTAGAAGCCTTCAGAGCAGTTGGTTGAAATCAAGTTTAGGCCAATAAGAGTCACAATCAATTATCCATGAGATTCTGAAGGAAAAAAATATCATTTAATCACACATAATAATTGTTTTGTCTAGTGCTTCCTTTGTTTTATTTTGCAGTACTGCTAGCACTGATCCTATATGTGCCTTACATATTGTAAGTTTTTTTCTTTTAACAAGCAGTTTTTTCTTTCAACATTCAGCAGTAGAATATTGTATGATATGTTTAGAAAGATAATACCACAGAGATGCTAAAATTAGGGCCACTCTTAGCTTTCTTCTATCAGCCTTACGTAGAAGATAAGCGGAACTGAGCCCAGTGAATTCAGTTTGCCAAAATTAACACAGGTCTTGACAAAAAGATGTGAATAAATATTAAAAAGGATTAATTTAGAAAGCTCGTGGCCTCAGTTTGTGTTGTGCTCATGTATACTGTATTTGTTTTCTACTTCATGGTCTTGAAAACTTGCAGTAAAAGCAGAATCTGTCTATACAGTGTAAGTATAGGTATGGTGCCTGTCATCTCTGTTTTGTTTAATTGTTATATCTTCTGGTATACTACATTGATTTCCTCTCTTTAAGATCTGACATGGTTCTGAATCATGTACTTTACAATTTTGATTCTCAGTGTTTTTGGCTATCAATTAAGAGAATTCTGTTCTATATGTAATATATATAAATATATATAAATATATAATCTGTTAATTATAATCTCATAAACAGTCCAGTCAATATACTGAATCCAGCTGTGTTTTCTAGTCTGAAGTAATTCCATATTAACATTTCACATGACAGATAACTGTTTAATTATTTTTTAACTTACTGAATTTTTCATGAAAGTGAATTTCTTTTCAAAAACAAGTTCTCATGAAGATTCTTGGGCTTTTACATCCGCAGACTCAATTAAATTGAATACACCTGAGATATTAAAAAGATTTTTTCGTATTAGTACAAATTTGCTATTCCATTCTAAAGTACCTTTAACATCAAGTCACTGACCTGTGCAATAGTAAACTTTCATCCTAAAAAACGTTAGCTTTTTTAACTCTGTGGAATGTTGATCACTACATCAACATTTACAGTATGTATGTCTCTGAGTTCAAAAGTTTATGCAGTATATACTTTCAGATTTGTCTCGTTAGTTTTCCTGAGAATGTGGGTAACAGGAGTACACAAATAAGAGCTAATCTTACTATTTAAGACTTGATTATTTAAAAAGTCTTTTTTAAGTGCCAACATCTGAAAGCCAAGAGAAAAGTGGCCATTCCCAATGCTACTCTTTATGGAGGATCATATAAACTGAACAGAAATATGTTTTATTGTGAAAAGTGAGTGACAGACCAGTTTTAGTAGATTTTGCAGTACAATGCTTCTACAAATTATCTTTTCACTGGAAATAGAAATGTGTTTTGGAAATCACATAAAACAGCAACAGATAAATAATATGAATATAATAGTGAATATGATTTTATTAAGTGCCTAAAATTGATTTAAAATTTCTTGTACGAATTGAAAGTATGTCTAATTATACTCACAAAAATGTATTTGTTTACAGAAAAAGTCTACTGTAAGAACCCATTTTGCCTGCTGTTGAGAATTTAGCGTTAACTTTTTCAATACTTAATGATGAGATAAGGATGTGCTATCTTTACTATTTAATATTAACTTTCTCTTTATTCCCAAAAGCGGAACTATATTCTACGATATTGGGATTTTTTTTAACATATGTTTTCTTTGGAATATGTAAGCTTGTTCTTACTTGTGATACCTTGTATTTGAGGAGAAAAGATGGAATGATTTTTAGTTCCTTGATTTTTATGTTTTCCACAGATTCTCTGTGGTTTTGCGGTTTTATTATCTTGGTGCACTAAGTGCACGTACTTTGAAGTCAAATGTAAACTGGGAACTGAATGTCATAGGAGTTGGCATGTTTTGAAAAGACAGAGAAACCTGTATGTTTGGGTGTTGTTTTTTTTTTCAGTCAACTGTGAGCATGGAAATCAGCTCAAAGTAGCAGTTAAATAAAATTAAACTTGCATGGAATTGCCATGTTTGTTCTCTTATCTAAAAGAAAAAATTGAATGATGAGATAAATGAATAACAAGTTGTATTTGAGAAACCATGGCTACTTAGGATGGGAAAATGTAAGTGCTTAATTGTCTGTAAAAATTCAGACAGAAAGAGCTTAGCTTTCATTCTGGTTTTTATAAGCTGTTGGCAACTTAACCTGTCGTGATCTGAAATGTACCTAATTTTGAGTTATATAATGGTTGTTTGGAATTGTGTCATCTTTCATAAGAAATATACTTTTCACTATGTTATCTATGAAAGAGAATGCTTTATACTGTCAGAATTAGAAATATGTATTTAATTTTGGGGGACATTATAGAATTTATATATAAATATGTATTATTATAGAACCATTAAACCAACTAACCGATACACTGAACTAAACAGAACATTTCTGAAAAATTCAACCCATTACTGTTGCATGTTTTTTCTTTTATGTGTTTAGTGACAAACAAAAAACCAGCTCAAGCAACTATTACAAAGGTCAAGCAATTTGAAGGCTCTACATCATTTGTTAGGAGAACGCAGTGGATGCTTGAGCAGCTTCGCCAGGTCAACGGTATTGATCCTAATCAGGTAAGTTTCAACAGTTCTAGAAAATGGAAACTGAGCTCTTGTAACTGATTTGTGGAACAAGCGTCTTTCAAAAGGCAAATGGAAAGATAAGTGACAGGTTTAAGTGCAAATTCTCAAACAAGAAATAAGTTGGTGGAGTACATGAATGATGGGAAAGATGAGAGGAGGCCAAAACTTGTAATCAGATATTTTCTTTATTCTTTCCTGTCTCCCATACTCTTTTCCCTGCTCTGTCTTTTCTTTTGAAGAGAAAAATAAGAGCTGTGTTTGCCTTGTCTTCATCTGTAAGCCTCTTGGGTTCCATTTTGGCATGCAGCTGTATTGTAAGGGCGGTAAGTAGAAGCAAAGAAAGCAGGGGTTACTGAGGTTCAAGTTTCTGGAAATACTGTGAACCTTTTCCGAGGACAGTCCACTCCTCAGTTCCCTCCACACCAATTATCCTTCTGTACAAAGGGTTGTGGTATACCTTATATGCCAGTGTCACATGACTACTGATTTAAAACAGAAATCAATTCAAACAAACAAAAAACTCTGTAAGTAGTTTTGGAATTGTTTCCGGAATTTTTGCCTCAAACATGTGCTGTTTTTTTGTTTGTTTGTTTTTAATGTGGAATGTGCAGTCTGACTTGAGTTGTTGGGGAAGAATTCTACTAACATGTTTATAAATGCAAATCTTCAGTATTCAAACAGCAGAATTAGAAGGTAGCAATGTGAATAATATTGTGTGATAACAAAATGATTTACTGTGCTCATTGTACAGCGGAATATTTATGGCTAACCCCGCTTGATTTCTTCAGGGTTGTACTCTGATCAAACATATAAGCATCTTAGTGGTGCACCAAATTTAGTACAGTCCTGCTAATAAATATTAAGTTCTTGGGTCACTGCTAAATGAAAAGCAGGAAGCAGAATTTTATTTGGATAAGAGGGACGGTGAAAATGAGAGTAATGTCATAGATACGAATATAGATATAGATGTTTCACATAATCTGCAAAGAAGCTCTGTAAACAGCATCTGGAGATACATTCAATGTGAAAGTCCTATCAAGTTCTTCAGCTTAGACATTCCTTTCACTTATTTTTCTATAGTTCAGTGTCATTGATTCAAAATAATATTTGCTGGATTAGTTTACAAAATGATTTTTAGCAAATATTGCTAAGTGTATAGCATCACTGCTTTTATAGAATCCATCTATTTTGGCAGCTATTGCAAGTTACAGAGTTGGAGATAACTTGGTTCTGAAAGTGATCTTTTGTTCTTGTTATCCTGAGATCTATACAACACTTTATGATAATAAATTAAATACAATGACTAGGGCTTACTGTTTATTTTCTTTCTTTTAGTAAATATAGAGACCAGAACCACATTTTCTATGTAATGCAGCATAAGAATATATTTTGGACTGAATGGCTAAAACATATTAAAACAAAAATCCTTGTGTTAATATAGAAGGTAAAAGTAGCTATATATCTGTAGTTAAAAAGAATTTCTTATCAGATTCCAACTTCTAATAATTTGGTCTAAAATATTCTTGTTTTCGGGTATTTCTTTTCTTAGCTGAATATTCCTCATTAAAAATATATAAGAAAACAATTCCTGCATGTGTTTTTATCAAAAATATATAGGAGAAAAAATAATCCTGGGGTGATCTGAAGTTTCTGATATTCATGGAGATTTTTTTGCTTGTTCGTTTTTTCCAGCATAATTGCTTTTTAATTTTTTTCCAAAAAAAAATAATTTGGAAATCTTTTTTCAAATCATTCATGAAACTGGAATAACAGTTGTGTATTCTTTCTTCTAGGATTCCCCAGAATTTGATTTAGTATTTGAAAATGCTTTTGACCAATGGGTAGCAAGCACAGCTTCAGAAAAATGCACATTCTTTCAGATTCTTCATCACACATGTCAGCGATACCTTACAGACAAGAAGCCAGAATTCATCAATTGCCAATCTAAAATTGTTGGAGGTAAGTCTATTGAAACTGGAGTATTCTGAGCATGTGGACATGAAATGATAGTTTGCAAGTGAGTTATTCTGTGTTTAAATGTGCTTATCTATACTTTGATATCATGAGTCTGAATATGCTAATCTGGCAGTAATGAAATCGTAGGCTTCACAGTTTCACCATCAACCATCTCTTCAAATTCTCCAGTGTCTTAGTTTCTCAAATATTTAGTTTAAGAGGTAATATTCACTACTCATCTTCTGAGAAGTCTCCTCCTACCCACAGCAGCAGAGGACTTCTCTACAATATAATTTCATACAAGCATGCCCAAAAGTGTTTATTACTAAATTTCCTATATAGTTTTGTTCTAAAACACCAAAAGTAAACTTGGAGAAGAAATCATCTCCAGATGTGTTTTAGCTGCCAACAGTGATGTTACCACTAATTTTGCAGTCAAAATTGTTCTGTCAGTCATCCCTTTTCTATTGGTGTCCTTTCAAACTAAGAGAAGAGACACTGAATTTTCTTCTAAGCTTCCTTTCTTTCTTCCTATTTCACTAATCTTTCCATCATTTTCAAAACTTTTGGTTTACATTATATTTAAAACTTCAAAATGTACATATCTAGTGGAGACATTCTTCCTGCACTGAGTAAAAACAAATGACTGTAATAGCAACTTTGAAATAGTTAGTCTGAAACCTATAGTATCAGATATCTTTATAGAAATTAGAGAAGTATGTCACAGATTTCAAACTCGTGACTGGAATATGTAAGCCATCACTATAGTGGAATATGCAAAAAAAATGTATAAATGATATATCCTCATGTAAACCAAATCCAGTTCTGAATTTGTAACTTTTCCCTTGCTCCTCCTAGTAATTAACCAAAGCAATAGATTCAAAGCATTTTGAAACATCAGTGCTGTCAGTTTATAGATGAAGCATGTCATGTTACAGATAAAGCACGTCACCTTATCCCCTGTATGATGGCAGCCCTTGTATTTTAAGTAATACTCTTTTGTTCTTTCTGAGGAACGTACACAGTAATTTCATACTGGATTGTTAATTTATCTTCTAATACTCCAGTATTTTTAAATTATTTTTAAAACATATACTTGTGTAATGTTATAGATATTTACATTATATATATATATAATGTGTATCTTGTAACTATTGCTTATTTTCAGATACAAAAAAACAACAAACCACTGAACTTTTTCCCAACAGGAACCAAAGATGAAAGTAGTTTTGCAGGATTTGTTTACAAGCTCACTGATTGAGTCTTGTGCCTTCCTAAATGGCAGGAATGAAGAAAGTGAAGTTCATGCTATCTATGTTTCTGCAGGAATTACCTAAGAGCTTAGTCTTAAATGAATTGTTGTCATCTTCTGTGAAATGCAGACCCTCTCTATTTACTTCCTCATTTTAACTTCCCATACACACAAAATCTTGCTCCTAGTAGCCTGAATCTTCATCTCCCAAGCCATGTTTTGCTTTACTGTTATTGAGTATAAAGTAAGGATATAGTCTGTGGAGTTGGTCTAGAGTGTTTTCTGTGACTTGATTAATGATATTAGTAATTACAGTGATAATGTGCTCAAGTGAATATTTTGGGTGCTAATTCTTAGAACAAAGAGCAAATTCAAATTTGGAAAGACTGTAAGTAGAAGATTCCTCCAAGTTGTATTTTGTATTAAATATTTCAAGTTCCTCTCTTGGGGAAAGAGACCTATCTGTGCCTTACATGAGGTTTCTAGATAATGCTTTGTAGAAGAAAAGAAAAGCAGGCATTTATTTGGGAGGAGGGAGTTGTCTTTTATTATTATTATTATTATTATTACTTATTACAGTAGGAAATGCTTTTCAATTCTGTATGTTTCTAATGTGTGGATAGTGACACTGGAATGCATCTAATCTGAGGTATCATTGTGTTACACAAATTGTTACTAAGTAACAAAACTAAACAAAAACAAACCTAAATTCGGAACATGTAATGATAAACAATTGCTGCCACCTTCAGACACATACTAGAACTGCAGAAGGAAGGAAGACGGGTGAAAGTAAGGTGATGCTCTTGCAATTTTTTTGTTTGCTTTTTTTAAGCTTTGTCCTATAAGCTGTAGTTATTCTGTCAAATTAATTAAAATATCCTTAGAACCCAAATAAATTATATCTTTGCCTGTGTAACCTTTTCTCTAGGACAACTGACAAGAATTATTAGTGGATCACTCTTCTCTAAGAATATATTGCCAGTGTGAAATGGTAATGAGTTTCTTTTTTTATAAGCTATTGACTCAGCTTCAGATATCAAGAAATAGGACTTCATGATGTTTTCATTAATTCTTTGGGTTTAATTGAGGATGAAATTTCTACATGAAAAAGCCAATTTGAATTTAGCTTTTCTGTCATATTTTAGAAAGCCAACTGGGAACTGGATGTTTCAGAATGTCGATTTCACAGAAGTTTTGCAGTTTGTTAGCAACTGTCAGCTTTAAAGCAAAATACTTTGTTTGTGTTATCTGGATACCTTTTAAGCATTAGAAGAGATGATAGAGTTATATGGTGGAATAAGACATTTGAGACCAAGTAAATGTGTATTGGCTTCCTTCTTACTGTTCAAGTTGAATGAATGACTTTAGAAGACACATGAAATTAGGAATTAGGATGGGAAGGAAGACTAAATCTCCTCCTGGCCCCTTTTCTTTCAAATATCTGATACTTACTGCTTTCACTTCTTACCTGATAGTCACTTAAAAACTGTGCTCTTGAGCATGGGACCCTTACAGACTTTCACTTGTAAATTAATTCTTCTACTATGAATTAATGTGAAAGTACTGTGACAAAATTTATCTATGTATTTAAAAAAATCTATCACTTGTTTTTGTTAGTATTTTGTAATTTTGAAATAACTGAGACAGAATGTAGTTCTGTGTTTTTCATCTAATTAATAATAGTAAATTTTCTGGTCAGTAGACCAGTAGATTTGTATTAGTTTAGATTGAAAATACTAACTTGGTTTTGTCCTGATTTATATGAATATACTAAATTCAAGTATAAAACTAAGTTTAAATTTCTCAGTTTGGAAAAGAGTAAGAAAAAGAGTAATAAGGAATTCATTCAAGTTAAGAATTCCTTTCTTTATATCTGATCATCCTGTCCCAGCATCTATGCCAGTGTTTAAAAACATTAACAGAAGTACACTGGAAACATAGAAAGTAATTTTTTAAGAAATGCATCAATGATTTGTCAATTCTACTTTTCATATTTGTGCAATGTATCTTCTAGTTTTTAATTGTTGATTTCTGATTTCTGTATTTTTCTAATTTCTGTAACTTTTGCTAATCTTTTGATTTCAACAGAGAAAGGTGGGGCATTGGAATTATATGATGATATTGAACCATAGAAGATAGCAAAGTTTCTGAATGTAACTGTTGAAAAATTATAAACAGTATCCGATCCTTTTAAATTTAACATTTATTATTAATAAGAAAGATTAAGACAGAGATTGAGGTTAGAAAAGAAAAAAGAACATAGCTTTGGCAAATCATTTAATGTGTTGCTTATGTAAAAATATTGAAAGGATTAATAAAATAATGATTAATTTCATCGGTAAATAATAATGAACAAAGTTTGGAAGCACTTGTTCTGCTGGTCAAGAAAAGTAATAAGTATTGAGCCTTAGGAGAAGGCTTCATTATGTGTATTCATTCCAGTTTACCTACTGTTGTAGTAAGGCCCCTTGAGAAGGCAGTAATGTACACTGGTAGATAAAGCAGTAGTCAAAGCACTAAGCCTGATCCACTGTGACAGTTCTGTTTTCTTACTTGCAGTTCTTCTTTCCTTGGTAAATAAAATACAGTTGGCTTACAATGCAATTCTGTTGAACTGCTATATAGCATTAGTAGTGCATTCCATCACCTTTGAGGCCTATGCTTGTTTGTATTTTGTGTGTCTATGTCTCTGCTTTTGTTTTGCTTTTGTGGTTATTTCCTAAGAAACTGCATTTAAATTTAAATTATTTTCTGTAGTTGCTTGCAAGTTTCTATACTGTTGGTTGGGTTTTGTTTGTTTGTTTATTTAATTAAAGTTCTGCCTAAAAATACTTCTTGTGGAGGAAAATGAGTAGCCTATGAAAATGGAATTGACAGAGAAATCAGTTTCTGAATGTCAGTCACAATAGAAATCTATAACAACAAGCTTGTGTGGATCCACTGCTGCAGTTCAGTGTACACAAGATATCATATACTCCAGCTGTAAAATGTTGCTATATTTCAAATGAGATACAGCTGCACAGACTCACAAACTAATAGTGTTACTGATAAGAGCTTTGTAACATTATTGCAGTATTCCTGGGAGTTGATATTTGCTGTATATCCTTAAAGAAAATTGCTGAAGAAAAATTAATTTGATAGCCAGTTCAGAATGCTCAGTTTGCTATGACAGTAATTCTTCTAGGGTACAATTTATTGATTCTTTGTCTTCAAGTATAAGTCTTCAAAGTATATAAACTCACTCATAAAATTCGAAACAGATTGCCTTTGCATAACCCTCGTTCAGTGTAGACTTAATGCATTGTTATTTCTTCTGTGCAGCTGATGGAACCTGACATCTTGAGAGAGAGGAGGTTTGATAGGGAGGCAACACTCCTTTGATTTCCAGGGGCTGTGTCTGATCAAATCTGAAATAACAATCCCTGAAAATACTTAGCTTTCCTATTTTTGAAGGTATAAATTAGCTGCTGGTCCAAACTACTGAAAGACCAGTTACAACTATAAATCCTGGTAAATCTTGTGCTGCTATCAGACTATGAACTAATTTAATAAAGTCATTGGTCTCATCTCTGTTTTCCTTTAGAAATGTTTCTTTGTTGAAAGGAGATGTTTAAATTATGAATTTATACAGCATTTTCTATATCCTCTTCACTGCCAGACCACTGACAAGATATAACGTCAAAAGATTTCTTTGATTCTTTGGGAAGCCCTCAGTTTAAACATGTGTATGCACCTATATAAACAGTGTCTT